ACTCGGCAATTGCGTTTACGCTGTACGTTATTATATTTTCCTGTTTGTATCTTATGTTCTTTATTAATGTAAATCATATTTAAAATTTAACCGATATTTTACATGCATAGGTTGGTGGCTTCGATGGTTCGACAGGGTTAAATTCGGCTGAAGTTTATGATCCACGGACTCGCGAATGGAGACCAGTAGCACGAATGTCAACACGGCGTAGTAGCGTAGGAGTCGGTGTTGTTAAAGGATTGCTTTACGCTGTAAGTTCATATCAAATATTACTTTGAAAACGATGTCATCTGTATTACGTGTTTAATATAGAGAGACTTTGCAATTAGGTTGGTGGCTACGATGGAGAATCTCGGCAATGTCTTTCTAGTGTTGAGTGCTATAATCCGGAGAAGGATCAATGGAAACCTGTACCTGAAATGTCCGCACGTCGCAGTGGTGCAGGTGTTGGTGTCCTGGATGGTATTTTATATGCGGTAGGAGGTCACGATGGTCCACTAGTACGAAAAAGCGTAGAAGCATTTAATCCAGAGACAAATCAATGGACTCCTGTCAGTGACATGGCATTGTGTCGTCGTAACGCGGGTAGGTGGTTAATATTTTCTTGCATACAAGACCTCTGAGACCACCCAAACATCGTTTTTAAAATGAGGAAAAATGTTTTTTTATAAAAAGAATGTTAAAAATATTGTTATAAACAAATCGGGTATGCTCCATCGACAGTGACATATTTAATTTTTAGTTCCGACTGAAAATTGACTATTTAAACCAGATATTGAATTTTTTAAATATTTTTTTATTACAAATTTAGATTACACGCAAATAATAAACTTTCGTGAAACATTTTTTCTAAATATACTTCCATTGAACTTGAAATGATTTGGAAAGCACGCACAAGTGCGATGAAAAAAAAAAGGACTTTAAAAAGGACTAACCACGAGAATGTGACAAATATCTGATTCTATATTTATTAGTGATATACGCTTCTGGGTGAGTGAGTGAGTGAGTGTTTGTTCAATGTTCAAATCGAACATCATTTTCTATTGGTATGCAAGCATCTATACAGGGTGTTTCATTTTAAGTGATATGGTCGATTATCTCGCAAATCGATGATTTTATTGAAAAATTTTTCGAACGAAAGTTACATGGTTTGAAGGGGGACATATGATGGAAATGTGGACTTGACCTTGAATGACCTTGTCAAAATCAAGTTAAGGTCATTAATGTTTTTTCAAATGGAAACCCCTATTTTTTATTACATATTTTTGTAGCTTATCTCTAGAGTTTTTCAAAACACTATAATTAATTCATTTTCATTAAGTACTTTTCGAGTTATGAGGCTTGAAAGTTACAATATCACCGGCATTAGCATTACACAAGGTGTCCTGCACTTGGTAACTCAGTATTAACTCAGTTTATTTGTTATTTGTTTGGTTAAAACAACATGTAAATTTAATTTACTGCGATTAAAATAGCATAAAAGTGTTAGTCCGGATCTACAATAGGTTTTTAAGCCTTAAACCATAAGAAATGTACGAATCATAGTCGATTATTCTCTTCGCATTCGATTGTAATTGGTCAATTTCTTATGGTTTAATCCTTAAAACAACTATTGTATATCCGAATTCATAAATTAAAATTATGTAATTTTATTTATTTTTAAAGAATTTAAGGGAGGTTCAATACACAATTTGACACGTATCGTTTGGACACGAGCCACTCACCGCGGCCGGTGCCTAGAGACTTTCTTCTGTACAAGAGTTGTAAATGGCTCGTGTTTAAAATAGTCCTGTACCGTTATTCCTTCCGAAATTATAGTATCCAGCCATTGAAAATTAAAATGTCGGTACCTTTGCACATGATTTGACGATGGTACTTCCATCGAATTTGTCGAATTACTAACGGTTATGTTAACTGCAGATGTTTGTAGCGCACTGGTAAGCATGTTTGTCATTATTTATAAAAGCTCTTGTAGTATATCTATCCTTACGATGCGTGACTTCTGTCGGTTCGAGACTTAATCTGAATTCGTGTTGTACGTACTTCTTCGTGGACGTAGAATCAACTTTCCTTCTGACACTACTTTTGTATCTCTGGCTTGCGCGTAATGGAATGTCTGATGTGTGGTAAATATAAACAGATCTACTCTCGTTAATGAACACTTTATTCGGAACAGAAATCTGAATGTCGTATTATGACCCTGGTGAAAAAGTTTCGCTGAAATTATTCCACGTTTTGGAACATTTCAGCGAAATTGCTGAAAATTTGCTGAAACTTCACTGAAAGTGAATTTTTCAGCTGACATACTGAAAAATCATTGAAATCCAACCGAAATTTCTCTGAAATTTCTCTGAAATTCTTGTCAAAAATTTTTCTAAAATTTTGTCGAAAATGAATTTTTCGTTAAAAATCGCTGAAATTAAACTGAAATTTTTTTGAAATGTTGAAATTTTGTTGAAAAGTGTTCCAAAACGTGGAATAATTTCAGCAACATTTTTCCACTAAGGGATGTAATAAGAAAGGTGAATCAATAGATCTGTTCGCGTTGCATGAAATCTCCAAATATTTTTGCACTTAAAATGAGATAGATATATATTTAGCCTTGAAAAGAGAGAAAGCGAAGATGCCGAGTGCTAAGAGTGCAAGCAACGCGAACAGACCTAATACGCATAACGGCGGAGAGCCGAGATCTCGACCCAATCAGAGATTGGGCAATTCGTCCGGCGCGAGTTACGAACTCATGAAATAAAATAAACTAAACATATATATAAAAAAAAATATCTATAAATAACATTATATTTCCTGAATTATCTTTCTTTTCCTATGCATTTGAGGAAAAAAGGTTTACATATAAGGAAACTGGTAAAGAACTTGCGAAATAATTCTTCTATCTTGTATAATGCTTACAGCACGATTGATTGCTCCGTCGGCCATTTTGAATCAGACAAATTGCCCAAACTCTGATTGGTTGACATACCCCCCTCCCCCCGCTTCTTTCAGTCCACTGCGCATCCACCGGAATGATTCACCTTTCTTATTACATCGTGTGTCGTATAATGTTGATAAGCAGGTTCTCTTTCTCTATAGAACGCGGATCAACTGGAACTAAGAACGGACTCTACCGATAAACTCGTTTGTGATTGGTCGGAACATAAAGCGCGTTCATACATAACACAAATGAAAGTAAAACGGTTTCGAGGGAGACGTATTTTGGTCATATTGGTTTTTTTATAGGTGGAGACACCAAAAAGATATGGAAGTCACCTCTACTTTTTTAAATGGAATTGTATGATTTTCTACATAATATGATTCCATTAATTAGTCTACATATAAAAGTATTAAGAAAATACATAGTTGATTTAAAAAAAATGTGTATATATAGACACAGAATGAATAATTTTTTAAATAAGCAATTATGTGTTTTATTTACACCAATTGATTCATTTTATCATTTTGTTCATAAAAATATTAAAGTACGATTATCAAAAAATTAATAATTAATGAAATATTCGATATTAATTTCATATCAATATGCGCCAGACTAAAGTATAAAATATTTTATAAATTATTGGTTTTTTTATATCTTTAATACTTTTGTATGTAGAATAATTAAAGGATCATTATGTAAAAAGATCGTATAATTAAAAAAAGTGGAGGTACTCTTCATATCTTTTTGGCGCCTCTACCTAGAAAAAAAAGTGACCAAAATACTTCCCTCGAAACCGTTCCACTTTCTTCTTAAATATTTTATACTTTATAAGATATTTCGATACAAAAGTTAAAATGAGACTATATGTCGAACTTTGATATACAGGGTGTCCCATTTTAACTTTTACAATAAAATGACCTGACCTTGGCAGCGTCACCCAAGGTCAAACCTCTTATGTATCGTATTTTCGAATCTTACAAATTTTGTCTGGAACGTTTTTCCATATCTTCCATATTTTTCAAGATATTTGCCTGGGGCAATTAAAACTTTCATGTGTACACACGGCGTCATAAATGCTTCATGTCATTTCATGTCTTTTTCTAATTTCTTCTCCGATACTCGTTCAACTTCGTGTGTTATTTCAGAGAAAAAGTTACATGTGATTGATATCCTAATTTAATTAGTCAAACATGAAAAAATGTGAAAAACGTTCCGCGAGTAAGGTTCCAATCAAGATAACGTTTTCGCCACAACCTTTCAACATTAACAGTATATCGCAACATAGATTTCTTCATTTGAATAGAATATGGCTAGATAAATCTCTGTGAAATTTTTGATAGATAAATCAAGAATAATAAATGATATTGAGGAATAGAGAATATTCAAGATTTTTCATATTGTCTTAGAGCACGCTTTTATGAAAGCAATTCTATTTGCACATAAAATAATTTTGGAAAGTTGGCTATTCGAATGGGAAGTTATGTTAAGTTAGAGTTAAAGTTTATTTTTTCATCACACCTTTAAGATCACTTTAAGATGAATAAAAGTGTGTGTTTTTTTTTCCCAGAAAAAATATTTTAGACAAAAGTTTCTTATATTTTTGCGTGTAATCCAAACTGTAATAAAATATATTATGTTGCATTTAAAAAATTTAATATATGGTTTGAATAGCTTATTTTCGTTCGAAATCAGAAGTTAAAGTATTTGAAACGAATAAAACATATTTGATTTATTCATCATAATTTTTGAGATTTTTAATAAAAATTGTTTCTCTTTATTTTAAAAAAGTGGTCTTAGACATCCTGTCTTCTTTCTTCATGTTATAATCTTTTCTCATAAATCTAACATAAATGCTATATCAAACAGGTGTTGTGGCATTAAATGGACTTTTATATGTGGTGGGTGGAGACGACGGTTCCTCCAGTTTGGCATCTGTAGAAATGTATTCTCCAAGAACCGATACCTGGACTACTCTGCCGACTTGTATGGGAGTTGGGCGTAGTTACGCAGGTGTAGCCATCATCGATAAACCAATGGCCTCTGCAACGACAATGTGAGGTCTACAATCCGCTGGGCATACGACAGAACAAAATATGGATTCAGATGTCGAGATATCGGATTCCTCGCGGGAAGCCGGGCCCAGCGGTGTGCAAAATCGCGGCGCCAGCCACAATTGTCCAGGTCCGCGTTGCGTTTGTCAGAGATATGAGAATGGCGAATTAGCCGCAGTCATAATGAATCAAGGCAGAAGTAATCAGGAGAGGGAGGATAGTTACCAAAACGTGGGTCATATCTCGCGTACTTTTCAGAATCGTCCCAACAGCACGCTACAGATACATCCAAATCTGAATCCACATTATCAAAATCCGATTGATTTGATACGCAATTACAACCGTCGATTACAACAACCACAGCAACAGCAGGAACCGGAAGAAAACATTTACGAGCGTTTGGACAATGATGATGATGAAGACGATGATGAAAACGCGGAGATCCCTCAGAACGAATCTCTAGTTCAAAACAATCAGGGTAACATGGATAATCATATGTATGAAAGAATAGACGAGCGGATATCGTGTAGCAGTAGAGCGCATTGTCATTATAAGTATCATTTACCTACTCATAGTTTTTTGAGCGACATGGAAAATGCTAGAAATATGGATCCATACAATCAACCAAGACACATTTATATCGATTATTCTCGATTGAATAGTAACATTTACCAAAGTTCTCTAAACAGATTAGGTCGCAATTGTTTCTCCACAGAGAATATTGCATACGCTTCTACGAAACGTTCTCATCCAATCATGTATAATTGCACATGTCCGTACTGTAGAAACATGGACGCAAGATACGTATGCCATCATTGTTACTATCTGTACAACAGATTACAATATCAAGACACATCTAATTCCAGGCATTACGTGTATCAAGTCTCAAGAAATTGTAGATGTCCCTTTTGTCGTGGGGAATACTCTTATACAAAGTTTCCCGCTCTTCGCGCTGCTGAATTATTGAAAATAGAATGTTGTCATTGTAGAAATCTGGCCAATTGTATCTGCCGTAGTAAAGCTTCGTCTGATTTTAATAATTCCACGATCATCGGACGATACTTGGATTGGATTAATCGGACCGGACAGTCTGTTAATAATCCTTTATATGCCATGATTCATGTCGGTAGGATGGATCGTGCTTCCGTGTCCGGTCACGGGAATACATCTAATAGTAGAAATTCACCAAATAATCCCGGTCCGTCGACGTCCGGTAATGCGACATCTAATGCAAGATTCAATGAGTCGAATTCATCTTCAGTTTTACGATCGGTATTTGTTCCCGGTGCTTCCACATCGAGTGCTCCTATCTGTTCCATAAGTCGCTACGTAGAACACCAGCATACCTGCGATGACTCTTGTATCCGTAGTCAAGGCGGAAGTCTGACTGGAATATGTCAGTTTCTCGGCAGATGCGAAAGAACGGAATGCAATCATGGAAGGCTTTCTGTACATTGGTGGTTCGTGAATAAATGGCTTCCTCTATGGAATTCTCATAACTTTAATAGAAACGTGGATGGCGCACCGTGCGTGGATGAAGTATCACGGGAACAGCGAGAGAGCGACAGCGATGATTCTTAAATTATTAAGAATTTGTTTATCGTGAGAGTGTCTATTTTATGTACTTCGAACTTTTAATACACATCTTCATTAATTTGTATTATACGATTATAGTTTACTGACTCGCTCGATCGTAAGATGATTAGCAAAACCTAGAAGCCTGCGTACACACAGTTGAGCAAATTCAGTGATATGGTAATGACTTTAAGTATATGTTCCATGACAATAAATTCGTATGTTGCGATTTTTAAATATTTGAATATTAGAAAAATTATTTTTAAGCGTTAGTAGGATAGAATCCTCTAATCGGAGATTCTGTTCATAATAGAGTGTCGTCCATTTTCTATAAAGTTAGAGCCATGGCACACAAAAAAACTTAAGGCAGTAAGACGTAAGCAGTAAGGAAATCAATATGTTGGATTGGGTACTGCTTACGTTATGGCTTGACGGACTCTGTGATTGGTCAATTCGCTTACTGCTTTTTTTTAAGGTGGAGAAAATCTTTCATTCCCGCCAAGGAGCGATGATCCCCAAAAGGAAATCATCTCATGGAGAGAAAGACACTCCCGGGATTGACCTAATCCGGGGATAGTATGGGATTCAGTGCCCCTGTCCTTCCCCCAAGGAGAGGTCCAAGGTCACCATGACCCACTAAAAACCTCACCGCTGCCTTCTGGCAGATTTTATCGGGGGGAGGCCGGGAATCACCGGCGACATACTTTCGACCATCTCCCAGTCTGTGGCGTCTAAGGGCGCCACAATTTTGAGCACCCTGACCGGGATTCATCAGAATCCTGGTTTCAGCGGATGATGATAGGGAATCTTCAAGTCGGGGTCCGCTATGAGATGGGCGCGACACCACCTACCCCCTGAGGAGGGTTGGGGGTTTGCGGCCTACCCTCGTTGAGAGGGGTTTTGGGGGGAGAGCCTCTCTCCGCCTCACCCTTTCCGCCTCCTTCTTCTGCAACATTACTTTGTGGCAGAAGAAGGAGACTTCCCTCCAGTACTCGTCCCTCTCGTCCCATCTTAATCACGATGCTCGAGAGGGACAGATTCGAGTCAATGGCCCTGAGGTCATAGCGCTCCACATCCCAGGCAAGACAACGCGCTAAGATATGGAGTGCCGTCACAATGATGACACCAGAGCGTTTCTTCCTTTCTTATTCGGAGACAAGAATTCTTCGAAACAACCGTATCCGGAGAATACATGCACCAGGTGGAACGACAGCCCACTCCAGGCTCGGTCCATCCACCTCTTGAGGTAGGGCTGGATGGTCTCGACGGTCCAGTACCCAGGGGAGTTCGAACTTGGGAGGTCTTTCTTCCAAATCCGAATGGTTCTCCCCCACTCGCGCTTCCTCAGTATGCCAATGGCTCTCGCGGTGGGGAGTTATTCCTCTCCCTCATACGCCGAATATTCCAATATATCTCGGCACGCTCATTGGCGATAAGAGGGATTGGGGATGTCCCCGCGAGAGCGGTCACCGCCGCATGAGACGCAGTGAGGTAGGCCCGGAAGACTCGTGTAGCGAGTTTCCGTTGCACGGGTGTAACAAGGCGTTTAATTCGCCCATTTCCAGCCATTTCCCGGGCCCACACCGGTGATCCATAAAGGATCACCGACTGCACCACGTTCACATATAGACGCCTGACGTACGCACTAGGACCGCCGAGATTCGGAAGGAGATGACTCACAAGGAGACGGTCAGATGTTCGGAATTTAGAAAATTTTGAAATTTACGGTACGTGAAGTGCATCGCCCAGAAATTACTTTGGTCAACCAAATGCACTTCTCAGCTAGTCGAGAAAATCGACTTTGAAAAATTCCGGTATACGAGAGTCGTCTAAAAAGTTTTGAGCCTCATCATGAAGATGGCGTTACTCGTCAAAACCATTCTGGTATTATAATCGTGATACTTACGAAAAATATCTATGGCAATTGTGGCCACTTTGGACGTTCAGTTCTTGTTTGACAATCATTTGTGTCATTTTGTAAAAATGGAAAAAATTGAATATCGTGCTATAATTAAATTCTTGCATTTGAAAGGCAATACGTCTACGCAAATTAAAGCCGAGTTGGACGCTGTTTACGGGGACTCTGCCCCATCATTTGCCACCGTGAAAAGATGGGTAGCTGAATTTAAACGTGATCGTACCAGCTTAGCTGATGATGAGCGTTCGGGACAGCCAACAACTGCGACCACCGATAACATCGAAGAAATTCATCAAATGATAATGGACAACCGTCGAATTAAGATTAGGGAGATAGCAGAGGCATATCAAAAGAACGTCTTTGTCATATATTGACTGAAGAATTAGGCATGCGTAAATTAACCGCGCGTTGGGTGCCGTGCTTGCTCACTCTGGATCAAAAACGTATTCGAATGAACATTTCTAAGGCCGTGTTGGAGCGGTTTAAGCGAAACGAGTCGGATTTTTTGCGTCGATTAATAACGGTTGATGAAACTTG